GCATATACCGCCGATCGCTGTTACCAGTCGCGACAACTGGTCTCACACGACACACATACACATACAGATACACGCACGCACATATTGTACATACAAACACCAAATATATATTTCTTCTGCATCTATCCGAGTCGTACTTCACTGCGATATTACCGCCTTGTCTCTCTCCTCCTGGCCGAACCTCTTTGCGACCCTGGCCGCAGCCCGTGACCGACGAGCTACGTCCGCGCAAAGTAAGGTCGTTTCAAAACTGTAAATTTGTTATATGTAAATAAAAAAATTAATTATTGCTAAAGAATTTATATATATCTAACAGTTTTTATTAAACCAACAGCTATCGATATTATGTAATAATTATTAAGAAAATAGGTTAAATGTATTAAATTTCAGGTTGCCGTATTTTTTGAAATGAAATATAATAAAATATGACATAATTATATAATAGACTACAGAGAAACAGAAAGAAAAGGAGAAAGAGAAAGAGAGAATGTATGTTAATTTTAATTGTTTGTTAATACGTAACGCAAGGGCAAGACGCATATTGTAAAGCGAGCGAAGGAGATGACATGCTCCGTCTACCTGCTCATCCACGTGCACTTATATAATGCGCTGGCTAAGAATATGATACCAGCAATAAACGAAAAATACGCGATCGCGACAGTGTCGTTAACGCGTTGGAGCAATGACAGTGCCACGAGTGAAAAGCTTTCAAAATAACGAGCTAGTCACGTGTCGCGTTATCCCTTTGACTAGCCCTTTATGTTTTGCGAAGTATATTTCACACGATGATATGTAAACGGTATTCATAACTCGACAGATTTTATAATACGAGATTATTTCATTTATCGGAAAAAATGCTCTAGACTATCACTCAAGGCTTGTCACAATCTTAAATACAACCTTAGCCAAAAATATTATAGGCATTTATATTTTTCTATTTATCTGGAATTCTTTTACATGCATTGTTACTATTTTGGTTATCAATATCATATATAAATTTAAAGGGTTCTTGAAACTAAGTATAATTTACGGTAAATATAAATCAATCTTTCAATTAAAATTTTAAATAGTGATTAATAAAGAGCCTAATATTTTTGACTGAGGTATTTTTATATAAGATTAGGCCATATACGTGCTCATCATACGTCGCCACAGATCGGTGGAAAATTTCAAG